AGAGGAGAACAGAGTATAGAAGAGAACAGAGTATAGAGGAGAACAGGGTATAGAGGAGAACATATTATAGAGGAGAACAGGGTATAGAGGAGAACAGAGTATAGAAGAGAACAGAGTATAGAGAAGAACAGAGTAAAGAGGAGAAAACAGAGTATAGAGGAGAACAGAGTAAGGGGGGGGGGGACAGGGTATAAAGGAGATTTATTAAATCTTCAAAAAATGTGCAGGCTAATTTTTTGCTAAATTTGTTACAAAATCTAAACATAATTTCAGAGTTAAAAGATGGAATAAAGATGTAAGTCATTCCACTTGTTTTCTGATTAATATTGCAAAAACAAACTGTATCCTTGCAAAGTCCGTGTCACGTGACGTGTATAATCCTAGATTGCAAATTCTGCTGTTGTGTTGTGAGTGTGATACATTAAATATAGAATATATACGGGTAGATGAGAATAAAGTAGAACAGACGGATTAATAAATAGAATAACCTAGATCTAGTTTAGTCCTGAACCAGAACCAGACTCGATCACAAATATGTCATTTATATTTTCTATGTTTCACCTGCTAGACTAGAGAATTTAGAGAAAAGTTTCATTTTTCAAACTTTTATAATTTTCACAATTTGCTAAGCAAAATTTAAATAACATATAATAAAGAAATCGAATACCCAATTCTACTTACATAGAATACCAAATTTGAGCCGATAACTTGTCTTTATATAAATAGAGATCACTTTCTATTTTAACCCACGTCAAATCTGTCTCGCAGATTACACGTTCATGGAAACATGGAGAAATGTTGTTATTAAATTAACTTGTGAGTTTTTGTGCACCAAAAACTTTTAACGTAAAATCTCATTTCCTGTAAACTTTCTAGAACTCGGCCCCCCTCGGCACCCCAAAGCAAGGTCGGATATCGAGGGTGGCGATTGTACAAGGTTATCTTATATAAAGGTTCCTGAACCCCTTGTTATATCTATGTAATCTGTAATCTTATTTAATTAAGTTCGAACAGCTCGAGTTGTAACGTCCTGCAGCTCGAGTTGTAACGTCCAGCAGCTAGAGTTGTAACGTCATGCAGCTAGAGTTGTAACGTCCTGCAGCTAGAGTTGTAACGTCCAGCATCTCGTGTTTAATATGTAAACTTTAGGGACAAATCCATCCGTTTTTACCTGGGCAACATTTTCTAGTTTTTTTTTTTAACAATTTTGTTTGGCTTTCCAGAGGATCAAGAGCCTTCAAAAAATGTTTTAGAATTTTCTGCTCTAAATTTTTTTTTCTCCGTTGCAAAGTGTTTGAACCGTTTGTAATAAACGGATGATTGCCTTTTTCCCGTTGATGTTAACATTATCTGTCAGAGGCAAAATTGTGCATAATGCAAAAAAAGCAAACTTGAAGAGAATGACATTTTAAACTCGTGGATTTTAATACTTTAATAATATTTTAATTTTAATAAATAATTTTAATAAATATATAATATAATATATATACATCTTTGAAGATAATATAACTATGGTAAAACTGATGATACTATTTCTCCTGGTTTCACAAGTTTATGGAGATGACACGGTAGGGGACAAATATAGGGTTTTCACGAAATTACCATATTTTTTGAGCAAAATTTGTGCCATTTTTAGCGCAAATATTTTTTTGCGAACTTTTGCGAATGATGCGCAATTTTTGTTACGTAATTTGCGCAAAAACGAAAGTATTGCGCAAAACGTAAATTTTTACGCAAAATATGTTGTTGCAAAATTACCAAAATTGACAATTTCAGCACAGAATCAAACAACTAAAGGTTTATTTAAAAATTTGCAGAGAAATAAATTATGATTCTTCTATTCTCAGTTAGTTGCTTTTAGTTACAAAATCTTCAAATTTAGGAACAAAAATTAATAAAACAGAAAGACGAAATTTGAAAATTTGAAAACTTAGTCATCAAATTTGTATACAACCTTGACTTTGAAATGTTGTAACGCCTTGGCCTTTAATTTTACCTCGCCAACTCACTGATACTTTTTTGTACATATACATTTTAAAAATGCTACGCGTCTGTTTCTATCTTTAGTTTAAAATTATTAAATTGGCAAAATACTGCTTGACTTTTGTGTGAGATCGTGCACATCTTGATTTGCAGTGTGAAAATCGAGTTTTAGGCAAGTATTAATTTCCTTTCTAAGCATTAAAATTAAATGCAAAAAAGTGCGATCTCATATGATAACTAATGTATACTTCAGTTTACACCTTTCTTCAACGTTTTACTGAAAATTTGTTGGCACAACAATATTTGCGCTTTCTTTTGCAAAAAATTTGCGAATGGAAACCCTAAACAAATTGAATAAAAACATATTTTATAATTTCTAACAATTTTTAATTTTTCTTGTAAAAAAAGTAAGCCAATTTAAAACAGTTAAAATTAAAAGCTTTAAGTGCAAAATCATGTATCATGAAAATAAAGGGTAAAGACATATTTGAGAAAAGTAACAGAGTTCTTTCTACAAACTTTTTATCCTTATATCTTTGCAATCTGTCGTCATAGCAAAGGTTTGCACACTAGGTTACAAAGACGTAGGGATTTAAGAATTTGTGCAAGAAATAATAGTTTCTTGAGAGTTAAAAATATAGGATTATAATTTTTAAAAATCATAAAATCTCTCATGTGTATCATTTAATTTGCCCTTTATAATCTGCAATCTGTAATTTGTAATCTGTAATCTGTAATCTGTAATCTGTAATCTGTAATCTGTAATCTGTAATCTGGAATCTGTAATCTGTAATCTGTAATCTGTAATAACTCTATATGAATTAAGAAATATAATTAATTTTATAGTAGAAAATTCTAGATGAATATATATATATATATATATCTTTGGTAACGAATTACCTAAATTTAAAAAAAATTTCTAATAGCATTCATAATTTTCTTCAAAAAGTTAACAACAACATCTAATCTTATCATTGCAATGGTTACTTTATAATCAATTTACTATGAGTCTAGTTTCTCTGCTGTATGGGAGGATGGAAGGAGGTTCGAGGAACTAAACTATGTAATGCTCCTTGCTGTCCTGGATACATAGAAAAGGTAGAAACTAAACTTTGTAATGCTCCTTGCTGTCCTGGATACATAGAGAATGTATAATCTAAACTTCGCAATGCTCCTTGCTGTCCTGGATACATAGAGTAGGTAGGAACTAGACTCTTTGTAATGCTACTTGCTGTTCTGGTCACATAGAGAAGGTTAGGAACTAAACTCTTTGTAATGCTCCCTGCTGTCCTAGTTACATAGAGAAGGTATAATCTAAACTTCGCAATGCTCCTTAGGAACTAAACTCTATGTAATGCTTCGTACTGTACTGGATACATAGAGAAGGTAGGAACTAAACTCTTTGTAATGCTTCGTGCTGTCCTGGATACATATAGAAGGTATGAACTAAACTCTGTAATATCCCCTGCTGTCCTGGATACATAGAGAAGGTAGGATCTAAACTATGTAATGCTCTCTGCTATCATGGATACATAAAGTAGGTAGGAACTAAACTCTTTGTAATGCTCCTTGCTGTCCTGGATGCATAGAGTAGGTAGGAACTAAACTTTGTAATACTCCTTGCTGTTCTAGTCACATAGAGAAGGTGGGAACTAGTCTTAGCACGAATAAGAGATGGTAGATACTATCAATCTTTGTATCTCTTTCTTTAAGTAATTGTCAGTGTCAAATTCTGTTTCCTATGGTAAGGAGGATAGATGAGTGAGATGACCGATTAATCTTTTCGATATTCTATTTCAATATGATTGCTCTTTCCTTCTTGAATGAACTCATTGTATAACCATTAAATGCTGAACAAACACTCAGAAATTTAATTTACTATTAAAATTTGCTATTTATATATTTGCTAGCTCCAATTTTGTTTTTTAAATTGCATTTACTAGATTGCATCTACGCCACTGCTAGCTCCAATTATCTATTATTATTTCCTATTACTAGATTGAATCTCCGCCTCTGCTAGCTCCAATTATCTATTATTATTTGCTATTACTAGATCGATCTCCGCCCCTGCTAGCCCCAATTATCTATTATAATTTGCTATTACTAGATTGAATCTCCGCCCCTGCTAGCCCCAATTATCTATTATTATTTGCTATTACTAGATTGAATCTCCGCCTCTGCTAGCTCCAATTATCTATTATTAGTTGCTATTACTAGATTGAATCTCCGCCTCTGCTAGCTCCAATTATCTATTGTAAGAAGATGCCGGATAACGGGAAACCCTTCCACGGACCTAACTCTAAGATTTACAAATGGAATCCAACATTTGAAAACGAGGGATATATGTAAATTAAACCTGGGATATAGGTTCAAGTTGTAATTCTGTGAATTATGTAAACTGAAACAAGATTAAATTATTTGTATTATCAATTTTTAAATATTTTAATAAATACATGTATTTTCCAGTATTTTCTGAATCACAGTTGCAATGTTTTTTTTTAATAAATTGATTTACTTACATATTATCTGAATCTGAATATTCTCAAACTAATCAGTTACCAGATTTCCAACTCTTGAATATGATTTTTTTAGGGAACCCAACTTTCCCTAATAATTCTTAATTTTCTCAACTTAAAATTCTTAAACCGATCTGAAAAAACATTCCAGTGGTTCTGCCGAGTTGCCCAGTAAAAAATTGAGGCAAATTGGTCAAGAGGTATGTTCATGAGTTATAATCGAATATACAAACAGACATTATGCAGCAGAATGCAGTAAAGTATGATGGATAATATAAGTTTGTTTCCTCAAAATGGAAGGCGACATTTTTTAACATTATCAACACGAATGATTATCTTGAGATTCAACTTTTTTCATGCTAATAAAGTAGGTTCAGGTTTGAGGATATGCGGATGAAGTAGGTTCAGGTTTGTTTATGCGGATAGAATAGTATCAGGTTTTTTAATGGGATAGAGAAGGTTCAAGTTAGATGATATACGGATGGAGTAGGTTCTGGTTTGTTCATCCGGATAGATCGAGTAGGTTCAGGTTTGTTCATGTGTATGGAGTAGGTTCAAGTTTGAGGATATGCGAATGGAGTAGGTTCAGGTTTGAGATGACGAGGATGGAATAGGTTCAGGTTTCAAGATATGTGGATGGAGTAGGTTTAGGTTTGAGATGATGAGGATGGAATAGGTTCAGGTTTGAGGATATGTGGATGGAGTAGGTTTAGGTTTGAGGTGATGAGGATGAATTATTAGATTTGAGGATATGTGGATGGAGTAGGTTTAGGTTTGAGATGATGAGGATGGAATAGGTTCAGGTTTGAGGATATGTGGATGGAGTAGGTTTAGGTTTGATTATTAGATTTGATGAGGTAAGAAAAGAGGAGATTAATTTTTACGAAGATTTGGATGGAACATATTCAGACTAGAGATGATGATGGAGGGTAGATTTAGCTTTGAGAAAATGAGAATGAAGCTGGTTTACGTTTGAAGAGATGTGTATACATCAGTTTTACAATCTGAATGGATGAGAATAGAACAGGCCAGGGTTGAAAAGATATGAATGGAACAGGTTCAAGTTGATGGAGAATAGGGCGGAGAAGGTTAAGGTTTGAGGAGATGAGGATTGAATAGGTTTAGGTTTGAGGAGATGAGGATTGAATAGGTTTAGGCTTGAGGAAATGAGGATTGAATAGGTTTAGGCTTGAGGAGATGAGGATTGAATAGGTTTAGGCTTGAGGAGATGAGGATTGAATAGGTTTGAGGAGATGAGAATGGAACAAGGTAAATTTTGAGGATATGAGAAAAGAACAGGCTCAGGTTTTAGGAGATGCGAATGTAACAGGGTCAGGATTTGACAAGATGAAAAAAGATCAGGTTTTAGAATATGTGAATGGAACAGGCTAAGTTTAGAAGATACAAATGGAACAAGTTCAAGTTTGAGGAGATGAGAGTGGTGAAGGTTCATGTTTGAGGAGATAAGGATGGAGATGAGGATGGTGAAGGTTTATGTTTGAGGAGATAAGGACGTAGCAGTTTTAGGTTTGGGAAAATGAGGATATAGCAAGAGAAGGTTCATTATTGAGGTGATGAGGAAACCAGTACACATAAATTTTTAAAAATGCAGTTGAGTGGGTTTTTATTTAATCCTTTAAGAATGACCAGGTTTAAGTTTTAGGACATGAGGATTGAACAAGTTAAGATTTGAGGAGGTTAGGCATGAACAGGTTTAAGTTTCAGGACATAAGATCGGAGCAGGTTCAGATTTAAAAAGATGTGGATGGAACAGGGATAGAATAAAAGCGATGAGAAGAAGAATAACAACAGGAAGCAGGTACATTGTTGGATAAAACTCCAGGCTCAGATTGTAGATTAATCCCAGAATACTAAACAGAGAAACACTTGAAAACTAGATTTACCAGCACAGCTTTTAAAATTGATCTAAGTCTCTAAATAAATTCAAACCTGTGAGAGACGAGTGCTATGATCGCCTGACCAATTCCCAGAACTGCAAATATTTTCCCAACCTCCCCCGGCTCAACTAGCTTACTCAGTATAGACCTGATGATGACATTAGCGTTAAACATCAGCTAAACCTGATTAACGGGACTATAAACCTGATTAACGGGACTATAAACCTGATTAAAGGGACTATAAACTTGATTAAAGGGACTATAAACTTGATTAAAGGGACTATAAACCTGATTAAAGGGACTATAAACCTGATTAAAGGGACTATAAACTTGATTAAAGGGACTATAAACCTGATTAAAGGGACCATAAACCTGATTAAAGGGACTATAAACTTGATTAAAGGGACTATAAACCTGATTAAAGGGACTATAAACCTGATTAAAGGGACTATAAACCTGATTAAAGGGACTATAAACCTGATTAAAGGGACTATAAACCTGATTAAAGGGACTATAAACCTGATTAAAGGGACTATAAACTTGATTAAAGGGACTATAAACCTGATTAAAGGGACTATAAACATAATTTTAAGTAAATATTTAATTAAAATGTTTAAACCTGATGCTGACGGTGGTAATTGAATTGAACTGAAGTACAGCAGATAAATAAACCGGCCAGTCTCCTCCCCAGGTAGGAGAGCTGACTCCCAGCACTATATAGGCAGCACAGGATACAATACAACCACCAGAGACAACTATACTATCCCGTACCTAAACAGTATACAAGATACATCTAATCACGGGACTATGCCAAGAAAATTGACCCCTGTCGTATGTTAGTCTGCATGGTTAGGGCGACGTACTGTACCATAGGATCTGGTCAGTACACGCTGTTATCTGACAGGCCGGTACAAACTGGGCAGGTCCTGTTCGAATTCAAATTTACTATGGAGATAGAGTGAGCCCACGTTTGAAATATCAAAAGTTTACGTTATCAGGTTGCAAAGATATCGTAATTAAAAAGTTTGTGACAAAGACTCAATAACTTTTTCCTTTTAATGTTATGATTACTTACCTTGAAGAAGTTTGCCAAAATGGGTAGAACCATCAGCAGTCCTGGGACAATCATCCATAAAACTCGAACTTTTGATAAAGTAGAAAAAGAAAGAAAAAAATGTTTTGTCGAATTATTATATTTTACGATTATGTATGAATTAATCTTTCCTATTAGTCTGCATGTCCTCTGAGCTGTCAGATAATTACTGAAATCTGCCCTCTCCCAGGCGAACTTTAACCTAGACAATATTTGGGTCAAATACAAAAACTAATAATCCAAAATAATTCAGCTCTTTCAAAGGCAAAACTTATCAAAACTAAATCAAAATCTTTCCATACCATTTTGAATTCTTTTTCGTCGAAATCTCTTGATAATACAAAACTTTTGTGTCTAAATCTGTGTTTTTAGCGCCCAGTGCATCAATTTTTAAGAGTGGGTCGATTTGTCTTTGATTTTATCTCAATTGGCAAAAGATTTCCCTCAGTTTCAAATTATTTTTATGTCTGATTCTAGATGATGATTGAATATACCTTGTCATAAGATAATCATATTCTGTTGTATTGATACAGAGCATAAACGCCTGGAACTGGAACACAGAGCAGAGAAGGAGAAATCGTCGAGTTCCATCCCGGGTTCTTAATTAGAAATATATAGATATTATTTTAATTATGAATCCAACGTAGATCATTGTAGATGGCTCTCTTTGTACAATATAAAACAATAACAAACAAAAAATTCGCGGATTTGATAATATTTGTTTGCGCAATTTCAAAATTTTTAAAAAATCTAAAACTTTTGGACACAACTTTTTGAAATTCTGAGCATCCATAAACCTTTCCTGGAGTCATGTGAGGTCCCACACATAATTTGCACTCGTTAGATTCATCCGTTTTGACGTTTATTGGATGCAAACGGACAGACAAAACAGACACCCAGACAAGCAAACTTTACATATAGATTGCAGATACCATCGTTCTTTGAATTAATATATCTACCTGAACATAGTTCTCCAGCAACCCAGTAATAGACTTAGCGTAGACTCAGAGCTCTGGGTTCGGAGAGGTTTGGGTAAACTCTCCTCCAGGACTAGGATGGAGTAGAGGAGTCCTAGTACACCTAGAGAGGAGGAGAGGATGAAGATGGTAACATAGCTCGAGATTCTGCCACCAATCTGCACACCGATCACATATCCCAGACTAAAATAATATTAAACAAATATCAAAACTGTCAAAATAAAATTAAAGCGTTACATTCCCGATTCGGATAAAAATGAGGAAGAATTAATCATATTCATTTCTTGAAACGAATTAAATTCCTTCCATTTTGATCCCTTGTCTCTGTGGCATAAATCCGCAATGCACATTTATAGATAACTACCACATTTAAAAGGTACCATTGTGAATCGGACACGAAAGACTTCTATTGAAGGGTCCCTTAAATTTACGCCGACAGCCAATGGATTAAAGAGAATAATTTCAATGTTTTACAGAAAAAATAGATTAAGATGATTAAACAAGTTGGAAGAACAAAAATTTCCTTTAGAATCACATTTGGTCATTTAATTGTTACCTATCCAGACGGTTTTTAGATCCTATTCATAGGATGCACGCACAAAAAAGAATGTTAGGTGCACGCACATGAAAAATGTTTGAACAATGTTTTCTCAACGGTTTTAATTCATGTCAGAATGATTTTGTATAAGAATTCCCAAAGTGTGTGGACAAGTATTGAAATTAAACGAAGAAACATTAAAAAAACATATGTAGATACAGCTTCTAACGAATATATCTACATAATGCATATTTTGTTTACATTATATTAAGAACTATGTTTAATTACATAAACCACGTGACTTTGTTTATTTTTCTCATCATTAAGAATTTAACATCTAAAAATTTATTTTGAATTGTACGCGACATTGATGTATATCTTTGTTTGGCAAACTTAAATTAGCAAAATTTGATCACACTTCAAGTTATTTAACTTGTATAGGATCAATTATCTTTGCAACCTGATAACATTGCACATCGGGTTATTTCCATCACTCGAAACTAACCCTTATGCAATTACTTATCTTTGCAACCTGGCAACATTATACTTCGGGCTATCTCCATCACACGGAGTAAACCTTTATATAATTACTTGCTCGTGCAATAATTAACACCCAAAGTAATAAATAAGCTCTTATTAGATTATTAACATTTATTTATATATATTCATAAATGCATTCATAATCATAATATGGAGATATTCCGATGACATAATGGTCAGCCATGATCCCTTTACATGTTAGGTTCAGTAGCTTGATCTTTGAGCACTTTCTCGGTTAGTTTACCAAGTCTTATGTGCATGACCGATATATATTATTCAGTCCGTCTATCAGTTCTCTATCTCTTTCATTCCATGTTTGTTGGCTAATTCGCTCATGCATGATCTGAAGCAGATCCGCCACCTGGTTGAACAACCTGTCACTGAGCTCTTTTCTACTAGAGTCAGGATACAGCTTGTATTCATGCTCCCAAGCCCTTCCTGTGTCCCATACCTCAATACGGGGGACAACAGGGGACTGATGAGAGCCGGTGTCCCCAGGAGCAAGGGACAGGATGCTTCTCATCTCCGTATTGAGTTCCTCCAGACTACAAATGATGTCCCGGAGTATCTGTGGGACATCTTCCATCTCCTCATCATCATTCCTGTCCTCTACAACATCCTCAGCTACGTCCTCATCCTCTGAGGCTGGAGCAGTGACAATGGGAGCATTCCCACTGACCAGAGGAGTAAGGTCTGCTGGATCAACTTCATCCTCATCCAGCTCAACATCTGCAACGCAGGCGGGGTTGTGTACTATGACAGGAACTTGGTTCATCTTCTTCTATGTAGCTCGTTCAAGTTGGGTTCCCTCAGTATGCTGTATGTTCGCTTTATGTTGTACAAGTCCCGGAATGATAGTGGCAGACTGACGTGTATATTTACGTGTCTACTCTTCTAAGGTTCGGGCTGTACTGATCCTCTGGCATCCGATTGTATTCAAGGGACTGTTCATTCTTATTAAGAACAATCTAGGATACAACAGTACACTGTACATAAAAAGTGAATTTGCAAAACACAGCACGACCCAAGAATGTAATGCAAGGAAAGTTATTTCAGAAGTGTACACATCTTTTGTACTGCAGTGTACTGTCTCTGGGCGGTAATGTAAACCCAAGACGGATGTCAAAGCCAGACATGGGATCCATCTTTCACATAAAAAGAAATAAATGAAATATTCTGGTCATAGGAAACTATTATGTGAATTATCAAAATTATCAAAATTTAATGCTTTTAACCTCCTCGGATACTAAACGAACACTGATGCATCTATTCTTGTTTACAAATTCCGCCCAGAGAGAACTGGTTTCAATGTGTACGCAGAGTATACACGACCGCAATTAACTTTCCTTGCATTACACCCTTGGCACGACCTCTCACGGTAAACTAGAGGTCCTACTTGAAACTCTAGTGAGTCTTAACTTCAGAACCCAATTTCACTCTTTAAATGTAGATTTTTGTATTTGTTATTTTATATTTGCTCGAATGCTCTAAAAGCCGGCTTGTGAACAGCTTAATTCAATCGGATATTAGTTCAACCGATAAAGCATTGTATCTGTAATTTTTATCAAACGTAACTTTTATACAGTAGGGATATCCAAAAAAAGAGGATTAAAAATAAAATCAAAAGTGTGTAAATAGTAAATACATTGGATACTCAGATTAAGCGATCAGGATTAAGGATATCTCATTCTAAAGTTTTCAGCTCAGGATGCACTTCGCTCTAGTTAATTTTACGGCCTCTAGACTACTGCAGCTGAGCCCGATTAACTTTATCAGGGTTTAAAAATGTTTTGCTAAATTATAGGTTTGTTTAAGGAATTACCTAAATATCCCTGTGAGTATAGACATCCTTGTAGTTCTAGTTTGTGGAGATGATGTATCTGATATGTAAGAATATAATCCAATATTGAGACACATATATCCTCCGCTCCATCCAGATACACCTTTACAAGCACACCATCAGGATATGTCCTAGTGTACTCCCACCATATCAATTTTGTACCTCACTTTGATTTTAACTATTTTTCAACACAAAATAATTATATTTATTTTATATTAATATTAATTTATGTTTAGGTTAGGTTAAGACAATTTCTGGGCCAACTTTGACAACTGAAACCTTAAAAATTCATGTATATTTTTGTATAATTGGGGTGAGGAAGGGGACAGGGGGGGGGGGTCTAAAAATCGTTCTCCATGAAATTATCCAATATCATTTCAGTCAGACATCTTATCTTACTGTTATTATAATTTCTATAAAAATCCCTTATATTACTTATCACATAATTCAAAAAGCAAAATTACATCAATAAGATAAATCGTCAACAAATATAAGTTTGACGGTGTGTCAAAACCGAAACCTTCGATTCTAAACAGACCCCGGCAACGCCAGAGTTTGCATTTTTATTAATATAAATTTTTCAACCTATTGGTATTATCATTATTATTTTAAGTATGATTATCAGTATCTATATAATAAAGCTCTTCGCATGGATATTTATGATATATCATATCTTCTATACATTAGTTGAGACATACGGGTTATAGCCTGGGGGGTGACATATATAGGCTAAAAAAACTATTTTATTTCCAAATGTTTTTTTCACGCAACGCCTGGCCCTTCTGCTGGTATAATATGTTGTTTAAAAAAAGAAAAAAAGTCAGCCCATTCGATCCAGCCGTTTGTTCGGCTGTAGGGCTGGAACATATATATATATATATAATCAATTCATTATTCAATCGAAAAAACAGATTTACATCCTCAGACACGGAGTTTCATGGACTTGCTCCAATCTGCAGCGAGGTCTGTTCTCGACTCTAGGATTAAAAAAATTTCGGATTTGGTCAACCCTGATCTGAATAAATGCTTTTTATCTTTTGGGAAAGGGGTGATCAGCCTACCCGGCTGAGATTTCCCATTCTCGTCACACTGCCTCAGATGATAGAGATTTTCACATTTCTTCATTGCCACCTTCTTTTTTACCATGGTCCAAATATTCTCAATTATAGGCCAGACATTTAAACTTTTTGGACATTGTCAGGTGTAAACCAAACTTTAAATTAAACAAGAGAGGCTGGCTTCGGTGACTGTTTACAGGTTCGTCTTGCCAGCAAGCTGAGCCCTCATGGACCAGGTTAGAGTTGATTTACACAAGGAAAAGCTTTAGAACAGTAAGGTGCATTCCGTCTGGCAATAAAATATAGTCACATTATAGCTTTACAGTCCCTGGCAGCTGTTCTCCATGTTGAAGGATAAGTAAAGGCTCTGGATCTGCATTTGTCTGGAAATGGTTGGTTATACAGGATATTTCAAATTGGTGTTTGGTCACATTAGCTCCTCCCTCAACCTGGTAACTAACAAAGATTTTTAGAGTTTTAGGATTTTATTGAATACCTTTAAACAGATTCTTGTCATTTTCAAGTCGGGTTCAAACCTCATTTAGCTAATTGAATGTTTTTTTTTTGTGCTGGTAGACTGATCAGTTCCACCACCTCGAAATAAAGAGCCTGGCTGATCAGTTCCACCCCCTCGAAATAAAGAGCCTGGTAGAATCGTCTGGGGATAATAAACACCCCTTTCAAAATCCCTACCGGCCTATTATCCGGATTTGTCTAGCGTGTTGCTGTTATCTGTCAACAATAATGTATATATATATTTGTTCGCTTTAGCTGGCTAAACGGCTGGACCAAATTGACTGACATTTTTTTAGGGAACACTGGCACATCCGGGATGACATATGTGGCTAAAAAATCAAATATTTTTTGAAATATTAAGATATATAATGATATAAACCTGGACAACGTCGGGTACTCAAGTTAGCTATTGTTAGTAGCATTACAATTATTATTGTTACCTGCAATAATAAGATATTTAGCTGGTATATCCCACCACAACACGGATACTAGTAACCATAAGCTACTTAGTATGTTTCCTAAAAGAAAATCAGTTATTTAATAAATAAAGAAGCTTAAACTTATCAATCTTTCAAAGTGATACAATAGGTGTACAGGGGATAAACTGAACAAATTCTTCATGTATGTTAATGAGTGTCAGGTCCAATATTTATATATCTGAGGAATACATCTCGTCGTTTTATCTATCCGAAAAGTATTACTACCAAAATGAAAACTTCTTCAAATTAAAAGTTTCGGTTGTGGATATCAAGTTCAGGCGTTGTAGATTTTTGCTTTTTATTCAAGTTTCAACCTCAGCACACACACTGACCCTTTAGTAAAAGTAAATTCAACCTAAAGTCTGACCGCGTCAATCTTGTTGCACCGGCTAGTCCTATTCAATGTCTTCGTTTTCCCAATGTCCGGGCGATACTTAAGTATGATATAAACTTGTATTTACGAGACACCCATTAATATTCTCACTATAATTATTATTATTATCAGCATTAGTAAATTCTACCTGGGTTTCTGTTTCAACGAACTGAAAAGTTTTGTTCCTAAAAATTTAATAATTGTGTGAAGAAGACCTATTGAGATGTACTTTTAGGGATTTTTCAATCATAAGTATTTATAAGATAAGGTAAATACAATTCATTAGTTTTAATTCTCCACAGTATCCAACGAATGATATAAGCAGAGTAAGACTCAAAACGACATAATCAGAAACGCCTTTTTTTTCTTTCAAAATTTTGTTGTCCTTTTTCAAAAGATCTCCAATAGAGACGAAGTTACTAAAACTTCTTTAATTTGGGTAATTTGTGGTAATTTTCTTGCCTTACAGATCCATTAAACCTTTAAACTTCAGAAATGGTCTTTAAACATCTTTGAAATGAAAACCGTCACTAAACTGGTTTCATGAACTAAAATCAGAAATGAAATTATATTTAAAAATAATATTCACCTTGACATGACGTCACACACTTCTGTTGTTAGATTATGCTCTTTCAGATATTCCTGTAGATCTAGTTTACATACCTGTATAATTTAACAGTACAATACAGTACAGTACAGTACAGTATACAGTACAGTACGGTACAGTACAGTACGGTACAGTACAGTACGGTACAGTACAGTACAGTACGGTACAGTACAGTACGGTAAAGTACAGTACTGTACNACAACATAATACAGTACAGTACAGTACAGTACAGTACAGTAAAAAATGTTTGAAGTGTCAAAATGCCATCTAGAGTTTACACCTTTATGTTGCAAAGATAAAGAGATTAGAAAATTTAAATTTGATGAAAGTATTCACATTATTTACATTTACTTTGTTACCTTGTCGATAAATATTTTGTCCCGAGGAACTATACAAATACTGAACATAAGAACAAAGATGAACTGAACAGGTTCAGGAAACCTTCTCCAACCACGAACCAAGCTTTGGCAACAGTTCTTCTCCGGAGATATACTAAGCACCTTCTCATGAGGTTCTTCTTTAATAATCTCATCATATTTAGACATTTTAGATTTGCTGAAAATATATATCTTTAATGATTTCAAATAGATTACTTTCATTACAATCTTCTTTCTAGAAAATTCTTTCTGTTAAATGATTTAGATATAATTCATCTAATTTTAATAGAAATAAATTTTGATTTTGTTTTCATTTTTTATTTATGTCTTAGAATTTCTATAATTTAATTTGTAAATATTTTTGCGGATTTGATGTTTTTTTGTTTGCGGATTTCCTGACTATAACTAAACAATTTAATTATTTCTAGATGATTTAGAACACATCAGCTAATTTAAAATGCGTTCCTGACAATTAGAACGTGTTCTTGATAATAAGAACGCGTGCCTGATTTTAAACGTTCTTTTAAGATAACATTCGTTCCGTTCTGTTCCGATTTCCCCCTTCCATTCCAATATTTTGAAGAACGCGTTTTTTGTGTTCCGTTTTTTTTCAAAACGATGGGATCGTTCTTGATAGTTACGTTCGTTCTTGTGAACGTGAAGACCCCGCGATATTTTTTTTGTATTGAATTAATGTTTTTTTGGAAAATTATTATCAAGCATACTTTAACAATCTTTATTAGCAGTTATACACTTTCACAGAAATCCTACAAAATTATAATCAAACGTTGATTTTCCGATGTTTTTGGGTCGTAATTTAAACATTGTGTACGTTACTTTGTTCTCGCACTCAAAATGCGCAAGAGTGCTGTTGTATGGCCAATTGAGTAGTGTTTTAAACACTTTTCAAAAGTTATTAAATTAGTTTTTCACTGTATAAAGGAACTGATTACTCGGTTCAATCTCTAGTTTTTAAATCCTTATGCCTTTGCAAAGTTGTAAACCTTGTAGGTTAAAATCTATGAATACTGCTGGATCAAATAGGAAAAGTTTGAAATTTTAGGTTGATTTTTAAAATCTTAACAAGAACTTAATTCGTTTTTTTTTTAAATAATGGTCTCTTAAGCATTTTTTAAAGCAAAAAACTTAAATTCACGGAAACTTAAAAAATTAACATGGGGACTGGGGACAAGTACCTCCCCCCCTCTCCTCCTTGAGTGATCTTGTATAAAGTTCATATCTATAATGATGAACTGTTTAAACAATGTACTCTGAATAACTAGAGAAAACTGAATTCAACAAGCTAACAAAACAGCGTGAGATATTTAGTCAGGTTCAGATTTAGGAGTCAGCAGTCAATATTAACCTTCATAGTCAACATAATTATCAATATAATTCTTAACTTTTCATAGCTATGCTTTACGTTTCTTTATTTAATAAGGAATAAGGAAAATATATGATTTTTAAACCACCCTGTAGATATTATATAGTGTGACTTATCTATCTTGTTTCACTCGAACTCTTCAAACTCCAGTATCATAGTAGATATTAGGGAAGGATGTATAGCAAGGAAATCATAATGCAACGGAATAGGAGGGGGGGATGTTAATGACGTCAAGGAATTCAATACAAAGTTTTAAAAAATTAGATAAAAAGAACAATAAAGATTCCGGAATGAAAAAAATAAAAAAATTAAAGTCGTTTTTGATAAATGTATAATTGTAGATTATATGCTAGATTAAATATTTACTCAATGCATAATTATTTTTCTACTGATTAAATTATTTTTGCAATGTTTTTCAAATATTCATTATTTAAATTTAACAATTTCAAAACAATTCTAGCACATGGTGTCCCTGCAATATGATATCCAGGGTGTACCAATAATATTTACAAAAAATTATAATGAGTGCATATTTATTGTGCATGATGTAATGAAAAACAAAAAACATATATGTACGTCTGTATATGTGTATATGGGGAGGAGAAAAAAGATATTTTTTTACATTTAATATTTAATAAAACATCCGCTAAAATAACATATCCTTGAGTTTGAGAACTGAGTAATGTTGATTAGAATACTGGATATAAGTATGATATAAACTTGTATTTACGAGACACCGAGAACTGAGTAATGTTGATTAGAATACTGGATATAAGTATGATATAAGCTTGTGTTTACTAGACACCGAGAACTAGAATTTCTCTCTTAAAGTTTGAATATAAAGAAAGCATTTTACAGCTGAGAGTCAAACTTTCTTTTTATAAAGGCGACATTTAATAATTTATAAATTCAAATGATTAATTTACCGATTAAAATCAATATAATTTAGCAGAGACGAGTAGGAAAATGGCTGATATTTGTCGAATTCAGACAAAAACGAATAGTATCGTTTTCAGAGAATGTTGACAAAATTTTTAAACGGTTCTTGCCTTGCCTTTTACATCAAGCCATAGCAAAATAATTTCAAAAATAAAAAATATCCATAAATATTCTTCATTTTAATCAGACTTCTGAAATCTGCATGGTATACACAGTGTACAGGTCTGGTATACCCAGTGTACGTGTCTGGTAAACCCAGTGTACGTGTCTAGTATACCCAGTGTACAGGTCTGGTATGCCAAGTGTACAGGTATGGTTTACCAAGTGTACAGGTCTAGTACACCAAGTCTTGAATACGGGTGTACGGGTCTTGCATACCCAGTGTACACTGTACAGGTCTGGTATCCCCAGTGTACGGGTCTGTTAAACCCAGTTTACGGGTCTGGTATACCCAGTGTCAGGTCTGGTGCACAAAGTGTATGGGTCTTTTATACCCAGTGTATACGTGTCTAGTATATCCAGTGTACAGGTCTGGTATGCCAAGTGTACAGGTCTCGTACACCCAGTGTACAGGTCTAGTATACCAAGTGTACGGGTCTGGTATGCCTAGTATACAGTCTGATATACCATTTGTACGTGTCTGGTATACCCAGTGTAGAGGTCTGGAATACCCAGTGTACAGGTCTGGTACACACAGTGTACGGGTCTTGTATACCCGGTGTACGGGTCTGGTATACCAAGTGTGCGGGTCTGGTATACCCAGTGTACAGGTTTGGTATGTACCTGGCAAGGCCTGGTTTGTTTAAGGCCGGGTCTGTAAGCGCCCGGAACCTGAGATATAGAAAAATCAATGTTAGTGTTGCGGAGGCCATGTACCAAACATCCTCTACTAGTTATACTTAGTATCTCCCTCCCTTCATTCCCTAGTTCTCCGTTTATATATCTCACACAAGAAATACAGTTCAATAATCTGTATCATTTCCTGCTGTTCATCAGTAATATATATCCTTGATCAAGAACTACCATTCACTTGTAACTGTGATAGAGGAGAAATGAAGGTTACAACTTTGTATGAATGGGGGCAGAGTTTGGAGTAAACCACAGGAACAGCTGTATGTCGTGATTAAACACTGAAAGGAATGGGACTAGGAGACAATCTCAGCAAGGTTTTAGGGAACAAATTGTATTACGCGAAATGGCTGCAGCGGTTGGAGAGCGGTTACGAAGGGGTCCTCCCCTTGCCTCTATTGAGTCTTTACTAAGCTTTGAGGCAAAATCAACTCCCAGGTCTGAGTTTGGGGCCATGACAGTTGATATCCTGGGAGCAGGAGGAGGGTTCAGGTTCCCAGACTGGATCGGGACGGATTCTGTGATATCCGACGAAGATTTCCAGAGTTTATCTGGAGATAAACAAGCTGAAGAAATATTTAAACTTCTTGCGCTTCTCTCCCCCTTCGCAACCGAGATCTCCAGTATGAAGAACAGTATTGAGACTGCCCTGGGCAGGGTTTCAGAGATAGATGCCAGGAACAGATATTCAGGATCCTTCATGTTTAAAAATAATTCTACTAAGAATGATTACTACGGATTGCCTGATAATAACGAAATGGATTCTTTCTGTTTACGGGAACCAGACTCTCCCCATAGTGGGTCCCCTCTACTTCCAGAAACCCATGCTCCGGACCCATTTATCATACAGAAATCAAGACAGCTCAACAGACGTGTCACTCTTAATGTCGGAGGAGTAAGACACGAGGTAATGTGGAATATGCTAGAGCAGGTTCCTAGATCCCGGCTTGGTAAGCTGGTTCAAGCCACTACTCATGATCATATTCTCAGCCTTTGTGACACCTACAGCCTCGTGGATAATGAATACTTCTTCGATCGACATCCTCGGTCCTTTAATTCCATTCTTAACTTCTACAGGACCGGTAAGCTTCATGTGATTGATGAGATGTGTGTTCTGGCATTTAGTGATGATCTTGAATACTGGATGATAGATGAAGTATTCCTTGAGTCCTGTTGCCAGAACAAATATAACACCAGGAAGGAGCATGTTGTTGAGGAGATGAAAAAGGAAGCCAACAACATCAAGAAGGAGGTTGAAGAAAACTTCGGGGACGGAAAGTTTGTAAAATATCAGAAATGTTTATGGGATTATAATAATAATAATAATAATAATGATAATAATAATGATAATGATAAATGCAGGGTGCAATGAATATTGTGGATGTGTTGGCTATCCTACCCTACTATGTATCCTTGTTTCTAATGGGAGATGATACTGAGATCTCAACCAGCCTCACTACAACACCGTCCTCTCTAATAGAGGACGAGGAGACAGGAACGTCCTTCGATGATGTTCGGAGAATAGTTCAAGTTTTCCGAATCATGAGAATTATGAGAATATTTAAACTTGCTCGACATTCAACTGGTCTTCAATCAATTGCTTTTACTTTAAAAAACTCTTACAAGGAGCTGGGACTTCTTATGCTCTTCTTGGCCATGGGAGTTCTTATCTTCTCTTCACTCTGCTACTTTGCAGAGAAGGATGAGCACAAAACAAAGTTTACTTCTATTCCTGCATCCTTCTGGTGGGCTATTATCACTATGACTACAGTAGGATACGGAGACCTATTCCCAACAACTGGTTTAGGCAAGCTAATAGGAACATGTTGTGCAATATCAGGGGTGCTGGTGATGGCACTTCCTATTCCTATTATTGTAAACAATTTCGCCGAGTTCTACAATGATCAGATGAAGAGAGAGAAGGCCGTGAAGAGGAAGGAGGCCCTGGAGCAGGCTAGAAGAGACGAGGAGGAGGCCAGGTTAGCGGAGGTTGAAGGATTGGTTGATCTCCTGCAGCGAGAACCCGGACCGTTTAAATCTCCTCCGCTCTCTCCTCCTGACGGTTTAACTATCCGGAATGCAAACAGACCAAGAGAAAACAGTGTCTTCAGTCCTATCCGTTCCCCGCAGCTTCATGAGAGACATAGTCTCAGATAAATATTGCATAAATCAGAAACTAAAGCATAAATTTTCAAAAATAACTGTTTTTGATATTTAAACTGTTTACCATTACCTGTATTATACTAATAAACGATTTAATTATGTTAACTAATTTTTGCTTTTATGAACATTTTATTATACCAGCGCGAAAGTCATACTTTTAAAGGATTTGAATCAAAGTCCATGTGTTTATAAAAGGAAGAAAAAATGTAGAATTTGATTAACAAATGTTGAGCTTGAATTTTTTTTTTTCTAAATGGACTCAACGCGTAACTTCAAGTAATCTTACAGGTGCAGGTATGATTACTCGAAGAATATGTGCTGGAAGTGCAGATGCAGAAATAAATATTTATAATAACCATAACAATATTGAATCAGTTTATTGCTAAAAAATATATATATAACAAAAGTAAATAAATAATCACAATGGACAATACTGCTTTGTCCGGAACAGTCTATTTAATTTCTGCATTAAATGAAGAATCTGAAATGGTTTCATTATGTTTGGTGCAGTCCAGCTCCCCCCCCCCCTGTATCCGCAGGACTTAACTCTCATAAATTATAATAAACCTAAGCCCAGTAAAATTTTCAGTTTTTTTTAAATTTTAGAATTTTACCGCCGTATTTTTTAATTTGTTTTCATAATTGTTTTCTTTAGAGGTCTATATTTGATACGGTTTAAAATCAAACCAAGGAACAAACATTTCGTGAAAAGGAGATGACTTATTTGGTGAACTGTCCTTTTCTGCCGTCTCTATACTATATTGATACTGTTCTATTTGCTCCAGCTCTGCTTGAAAGTTAGTCCGGTAATTTAAGTGAAGATACACTAGGAACCCCAATATCTTTACTGTGTACTGTATTCCAGGGTAGGAAAAAACAAGATCAGCTTCAGCTTGACTGTATTCCTGGGTAGGTATAAACAAGATCAGCTTCAGCTTGACTGTATTCCTGGGTTGGAATAAACAAGATCAGCTTCAGCTTGACTGTATTCCTGGGTAGGAATAAACAAGATGAGCTTCAGCTTGACTGTATTCCTGGGTAGGAATAAACAAGATCAGCTTCAGCTTTACTGTATTCCTGGGTAGGAATAAACAAGATGAGCTTCAACTTGACTGTATTCCTGGGTTGGAAAACACAAGATCAGCTTCAGCTTGACTGTATTCCTGGGTTGGAATAAACAAGATCAGCTTCAACTTGACTGTATTCCTGGGTAGGAATAAACAAGATCAGCTTCAGCTTGACTGTATTCCTGGGTAAGAATAAACAAGATCAGCTTCAACTTTACTGTATTCCTGGGTAGGAATAAACAAGATGAGCTTCAGCTTGACTGTATTTCTGGGTAGGAATAAACAAGATCAGCTTCAGCTTGTAAAGGTTTCAGTTTTTCATATTCTTTACAAAGAGTGTTAGAGTGCAGTAACCCTTTTTTAGCCATTTCTAAGCCCACAAACTATTAATAGTTATATTGTAGCCGTGTATCCTAAAATTTCAAAACTGTATAGTTTTTGAAAAAAATCTTGAAAAACATTTATGCCAGAATGCTAATATTTTAGTTTGAACCTTAATTATAGTACAGATGGTCGAGGTTAGAGAGAATGTAAACGTCAATTTGTCACATGAAAATCGGAATGAATCTTAGCTAAATGAGTGTTTACTTGATCTTTAGTCGCAGGGGGAGCAGCCTAGCTGCCTGAACTTCTGCGTGTGGAGCTGCTGCAGTAGTAAACTTCTCCTGATTGAAAGTTTCCTTTAGGAAAAGATGCAGCTTGAGAGTCTTTTTTAGGAGCAGCTCTTTCTTAAGAGTCTCCTTGAAAAGCAGCTGCTGCTTGAGAGTCTTCTTAAGGAGCAGCTGCTGCTTGAGAGTCTCCTTGAGAAGCAACTGGTGGTGAAGCAACAGCAAGAGAAAAATTTTTCTTAATATCTTCCAACGTTTTCTTAAATCCTTGTATTTCCTCTCCTGTTTTAGTTTTCCCATCCTATCAAATATAAATAAAGTTAAACATTGATTTTTTACTTTACACTGTAGAAAATATTTGTAGCACACTCTAAATTACGAAATCAAAAATGCATAGATAAATAAACAAACATAGTTTATGTACACAAAATCACCAAGAATTGTACAGTCCGCGAACTCATACTTCTAGGGGTCAAAGTGTACTTCAATGATAAGGGTTTGGTGTTTTAATAGAGTGTAAAATAACTCCGGGAATGGAACTATTTGAACAACAATTTTTCACTGAGCAATATATCATATTGACGAGAACTGAAGAAGGACATGAGAAGGACTAAACTAACTTAAATTTCTCTCTACAGAACTCATGTACACCACAAGTACTCAATGACATAAGACCAGCCAATGTTCACAACCGACCTAGTTAATCTATATAATAGGAATATCTTTAAAACATCTCAGTACATTTATATCTTGAATGAAAGATGAAAAATGTCGTCTTTTGCGCCATCTATTTTTATCTATGCAAAAATCGCTTAAATTTAACGAAAAATTGCTTGGTTTGCAGGAGAATTGGGATGACTGCCAGATAAGTGAATTTTTGTTTAATATTAGCGATTATTTTATTTTTTAATTTAGAGTGTATAGATTATACCTTTGCTGAAGTTAACTGCTTCTGAAGTTCGCTAAATAAAATTTAATTCGAATTAGTGATTCCTTATTGATAAGTTGTATAAAGTAATTAAAAAAAGTAAATTTTAAATTGTAATTTGGTGGTAATCTGTAACAATTTTAATTTACATATTTGTATTTTTAATTTTAACCTGATGTGTTTATTCAGAATTTCTTTTTCATTTTCTAAAATCTTTTTCTTTTCATCTTTTTTTGCCAGTTCCTCACTTTTCTCCTAAAAAAAAACTAGGAATACAAAGAAAAATCGCTGTAAAAAATAAAACCTTAAAGTCTATGTTTTTATTGTTGAACTCTTTGCTGCAAATTGTAAAGGAATCAGTTGCCCGTCTCAAATCAGATCTGAAGAAAACAACTTTTAAAAAGAATAATTTTTATACAAGTTTCTGCAGCTTGGTTCGCAAGTAAATCCTTGATTAACGCAAAAAATATGTCTCACAGACCAAAGTCGGTTTTTTGTCTTTTTTTGTCGGACAAATCTTGCTCTTGATAATATTATTGTTGATGAAAAAGCGCAAGGTTGTCTTCGCGTGTGTATCAGACAGTAAATTAAAATGTCGTCTTCTGTCTAGTAATATTAGAATATTACTATATTTCCAAATCAAATCTTTCAATTGATAAGATCATTTAAAAGTCGGCTGTAAAAACGTTTTCATCGGAAACACGTTCAAGGGGCCAAGGCGTACGTCCTAAAATGTGTTGTTATCTAGATCTCTGTAGATCGGTTAATTTCCTGTGAGGAACAAATAAGTTAAACTCAAAAGATTCCAGCTCAGTTGAAATTAATTGAATTGTTGTTTCTAGAACAAGGACTCAATAAATTCTAAAAATCTGGTCTAAACACTGGTCTACCTTAATCTATCAATAGTAGTTGCCAAAGATGCATTCTGCGTCCTTGCATTTAACATATTTAGCATCAAACCTAGATTAAATATTTTATCAATGGTTAATAGGTTCATTTAATCATTTTGGTAGAGGGCGCCTCAAAAACAAAAATCTGGTTCGCCAACCAAAAAAGAAAAATGATTGCAATGATTTAACATTTTTTGTTTAATCAAATCTACATTTAGCAATTTAACGTCATCACATATAAAAAAATCAAATGTTTTGTGATTGTTCACTTATAACTTAGTTTTCGGAAATAAAAACACAGATTCGTCTAGATCTCATATTATCTTATGTCCTCAGGGTCAGAATAATCGAAACTTTAAATGAAAATTTCCATAGTTTTTATCTTTTGTGACGATTTTGTGAAGACTTTAGTAATCATATGGAACGATTCCTAAGCCACAAAGCTCAACTTTGTGAAAGTTACAAACAGTGAAAAATGGTAGTATGGCTGAACACAGTATGAAAAATGATTCACCGACCTAGGGTCAAACAGCCTAATGGGTCAAATGACCTAGGGTTAAACAACATCGGGTTAAAAATGCAGCCTATGGTTAAACGACCTAGGGTAATACGACATATGGTCGGTCAAAAAGTGCGAAAAACGGACAAAATTTTTGAAAGAAACAGCACATTATTCAAAATTTAAGAGGCCGCAGAGCTTGGCCCCTAGCCCATCCTAGCCGCAGCGCTCGGCCCAGAAATCGTCTTAACCTAACTTAACCCTAAATAAGGTGAGAGACAGCATATTATTTAAAATTTAATAGGCCGCAGCGCTCGGCCCAGAAATGGTCTTAACCTAGCTAACCCAAAAAAAGGTGAGAGACAACATTTTAAAAGAAAAAGTTAAAAGAAATATTTTTGTCATCTTAACCCTTTATTGTGTGTTTGATCGTTTGTCGTTAGACCCTAGGTCGTTTTATCTCATGACAGTTGACCCTGGGTCCTTTGACTATAGGTCGTTTAATCCTATGTCTATGAACCGGAAATTAAGTATACCTGAACACTGAAGAAAAAGTATACCTGAACACAGAAGGAAAAGTATACCAGATATTGCTGTCCCACCACTGGTCATCTTATATCTGTAGGCAGTGAACTAATAAAAATATACAAATTTATGGATACACTGTACTAGGAGGAGAAGGTTGGATAAACTATATCCAGCTCTGAGGATACACAGTACTAGGTGGAGAAGGTTGGATAAACTTTCCAGCTCTGAGGATACACAGAACAAGGAGTATAGGGTTGGATAAAGTATCCAGCTCTGAGGATACAAAGTACTAAGAATATAGGGTTGGATAAACTATATCCAGCTCTGAGGATACTCAGTACTAGGAGGAGAAGGTTGGATAAACTATCCAGCTCTGAGGATACACAGTACAAGGAGTATAGGGTTGGATAAACTATATCCAGCTCTGAGGATACACAGTACTAGGAGTATAGGGTTGAATAAACTATATCCAGCTCTGAGGATACACAGTACAAGGAGTATAGGGTTGGATAAACTATAATCAGCTCTGAGGATACACAGTACAAGGAGTATATGGTTGGATAAACTATCCAGCTCTGAGGATACACAGTACTAGGAGAATAGGGTTGGATAAACTATCCAGCTCTGAGGATACACAGTACTAGGAGAATAGGGTTGGATAAACTATCCAGCTCTGAGGATACACAGTACAAGGAGTATAGGGTTGAATAAACTATAATCAGCTATGAGGATACACAGTACTAAGAGTATAGGGTTGAATAAACTATATCCAGCTCTAAGGATACACAGAACAAGGAGTACAGGGTTGGATAAACTATCTAGCTCTGGATTTGGTGAAGATGATATTATCCACCTGTTAAATTCAAGAATGTAAGAACAGCTGTATTTTTCTCTGAAACAGATAAGCAAATCAGACAGAATTACGTCCCTCGCCGTATTCCTCCTAGTCCCTTCTTATCCCTTCCTGTCCCTCGCGTTATTCCTCCTAGGCCATTCGTATCCCTTCCTGTCCCTTGCTGTATTCCTCCTAGTCCCTTCTTATCCCTTCCTGTCCCTCGCTGTATTCCTCCTAGTCCCTTCTTATCCCTTTCTGTCCCTTGCCGCATTCCTCCTAGTCCCTTCTTATCCCTTCCTGTCCCTCGCCGTATTCCACTGTGTCCCCAGCTCAATTTTCATATCATATATTCTTTCCTGAACACCTCTCTCCCCTCACCCCTCCCTTTGCTCCCTTAAGTCTGTTGTGAAAAACTTATTATCAGGCCGTCACCATGTGTGATTGTATGAATATCTAAACTGGAATTGTTTCTGATAAAACATTAGATTAATTGAACCTTCGCTCCATTTGTAGCAACATAATATGCACTACAGGGTGACCTACCTAAATTCAACCTGACAAAGCATAAAAAAATTGCTACTGATATAGGATTAACCATAATTAGATTGGTACTTTTATTTCTATCCGGTAGTCCTATAAGAGAGTTCCGTTGGTGAGAAACCGAATGTCCACTTAATTTTTGGGTCTGTCAGAAAAATTTTATTTCAAATTATCTTTAAAAAATTCGGACAAACAGTGCCGATATCTATTAAAGATGGTTTATCTTACATCCTATCTCATTTTCAGGAACACTAACTTCATGTTAAACTTTATTTCTAGCATTCATACTTGATATTTTTTGAAATATATTCGTTCAGCATTTAATAATGTGCAATTTTGCCTTGTAGAGTAACTAATGTTCTAAATCTACATTGCCAAACTGATACAAGCCCAATCCTACTCAGTTCTCAAATACTTAACTTGTACCAGTCCTATAGTACTCAGTTCTCATATACTAAACTTATACCAGTCCTATCCTACTCAGTTCTCGAATACTAGGGTGAACTTTTACAATGTGTACAATGTACGTTGTACATGCATTTACATTGTAAAAAATATAAATATGTTAAATGTTCTTTTACATTCACATTGTACATAAAACATTGTACAACATTCAAATTACATATGGGGTTGTTTGTTCAAAAACAATGCATATATATATGAACATTGTAAAATGCATGTACAATGTTCATGGTATGCATTGTACAATGTACAATGCATACCATGCACATATACATCGGTTACATATACATACGTGTACATATATTAAATGTACAAATTCATATTTTAATAGATCCCTTTCCTTTGGGAACCGAGTTTTAAAATGTCTTTAGATTCCGTCTCCTAACCCTTCCCCTTCCACCCTCCTCCTCCTTCTATCTATTAAATACTGCGCAATGTTTCAAGGTCCGGCGACACAGGTTTTAAGATATGTATTTTTAAAACGACGCAAATAAAACTAATTTCTATAAAGACAAAAATATGCATTTTGATAAATCGTTCTAGCTTGCAGGCTCTAGCAGATAATTTCAGTGTTTCAAACTAAATTTGAGTTTTTTTCTGCAATGCATTTTGCGGATTTTTGTTAAATTGCAAAACTTAATTTACAGTTGCTCAAATCTTTTTTCCGATTGTAAAAATTGCAAAACTGTTTAGAAAACTCAAATTCAGTTTCCCATACACCAGTATTTCGATAAAACGTTTCACGCACAGTTTCACCATTCATTGGGTAGGTGGGTCAGCTGGAAATATTTAAGCATGAAGATTGCCAAGGTTAATAACTACCTCGGGGTTTTAGAAATTCGTCAATACCTCTTATTGTTACAAAGTTATAACTCTTCAAAGTCAACCCGGCCGAAATACTTCTTAGGGGATTGTGGTCGTTTTAAACACCTGTTAAGAAATAAAACAAAACGTTCATATGAATAGAATAAGATTATCACAAAATAAATGTAACCATCATCATATATCTGTCTCAAACTATGACATGGAAATTGTCAGAATTAATGGGACACCCTGATGTGGGCAAAATTTTGACAAGACAATATTTTTACAATTAAATAATTTCATGTTTACATAAACAGATGAAGAGGAATAAAAAAATCTCTTTTGCAATATTTTATTATTAAATGTCAAATAAGAAACATGGGAGGAAATTTATCGTTCAGAATAAATGGGATCTTGTCCACAGATTATAAAGTTTTTTTAGAATATTTGATATTTCCAAACCATTGAATAAATGTATATTATCCATGTGTTTCGATACAGATATCTTTTCCAGTCGAGAGATACAAACAATTTTATATAAGAAAGGGTCTGTTCACTATTTTATAAATCAAACGGTACTGTATATGCATGTATATATATTGAAGGGTTCAATGTCTGTTCATTATTTTGTTTAACAAAGCTCTAAACAATTCTATATAGAGTTTCGAGAAAAAAATTGGTTTATTCTTGTAAAGTGGCGAACTACAAGGACATCCAAAAAATTCTTTTATTTTTATTTTTAAAATTAGCCGAATATGCTGAAAGATTTACGAACCAGAAGAAAATGAAGAACAAGAAATAAAGAAATCTCAAAATATTTCTATTTGATATCATATAAATACTTAAAAATAATGTAAAATTTAATTAAAATAAATCATTAAAGTTAAAATATATAACAAAGCTCAGTTTTAAACATATTGTATTCTGGACCATTTAAAGAATTAGTAAAATTAAAGGACACGTTTTTTAATATTTTGTACATCTTTTAGATATTTTAAATTTTCAGTTAAAAAAAGCCTTTATTCATATTTCTAAGGTTTAAATAATTTCTTTTCGCATCGGTTTTCAAAATGTTTAACAAAACCCTAAAAATCAATTAAAAAAATGTATTTAAAATAATACGTTGAAAATTGTCAGGATGGAAGTTAATTTGTTTGTAAAATTTAATCAGATAAGCGGAGAGTTGTTTTCCAGCCAAACCCAGTTCTAATATCTTGCTCTGGAGAAGTTGAACCGGTGACACCGACGCCGTCTCACACATCCAACCCATGCAAGGTTTAAAGTGACGCAGAGAACGGATTGTTTGCGGGGAAATACTGGGTCTAGTTCTCTTCATTAAAGGTATAAAAGAAGATAGGCGGGCTTTTGGTTCAGTATGCAACTCCCCTCCCTCTCATCAACATGATTAGCAAAGTAAGGTTCAATCAGGAATTCAGAGTGCTTCAAGCCAGCACGTCATAGCTTTAATACTTATAGGGAGGAATCAGGGATTTTGAAAAAGCCTTTTTTGTGTGATTCATGAAAAAAATCGTAAAAAACTAATTCTAAACCCCTTCTCAAATCTTGTTGAAATATTTTATTTGCATAAAGTTTTTAAAAGTAGCCAGTAACAAAAAGAATCACTGGACTAGAAGGTAACCTGTCTAGACTGGAAATCTTTACAATCTTAACTTTATATACCAGAAATATTAACTTCTTATTTTAACTGATTGTTATCAAGAATTTAAAACTTTTTATTATTACTATTATTATTAACTTATGATTTATTTGGCACGGGAGACTTTTTTGGAAAATCAAAACTTACATATTCAAATCCCAACTGTTGTTGAAAGGAATACAATATTAATTGTTTTAAAGCCTAAAAACATATTAATTTTCTTTTAAATTTCAGATTGTGGTTGTAGCCTGTGTGTTATCCCAGGTACAGTGTGACAGGAACCTGCCAGTTCTATTTCAATTCAGCCAGCCCAGCCACAATGTGGCAGTTTTCAGGGGGGCTGATGTAGAGAGAGCTAATGCAATAGTGTTACATTTTTCTTCAAACTTGTTTTTTTTCCCTGACTAATATCTCCTTTTTTAAAATGGTTTGAGCAAATACAACTTGAGGGATATATGGTGGAGTCTCCCAACCTTTAAAGTTCTAGCCAGGCACAATGTTTTGGTATTTTGAAAAAAACTCACATTTTTAAAAAAAGAATTGTTTGTGCACTTTTTCAAGCTGCAAAATTTGGTCATATTTTTATTAACATAAACAATTAACTGAACTGGAATGTACTGCAGTATACAATCCTGTGTTTACAATCCATATTAAGTGTTTATCTAATTATATCAATACTAATTTTCAATTATCTACATTTTAACATCCCAAATAAATACGATCACACTCTATACAAGTGAACAGTGTTAGATGCGTAAACATATCGCTATGTACACAACCGACCATCTCTATTAATTAATTAATAGGGAGGTCGGTTGTGTACATCTGAGGTAAGCTATACCTCTTCGTTTTATTTCTAAGCTGCAATTACAACTACAGTGTAAATATGACTAGAAAAATATTTCACTTATAGTCATGATTTCAGATTGGAAAGAAATCCTAATCTAAAAGAACTAATTCGCATAGTCCAAATTTTGAACATTTTGTTGTTTTAAAATCAGTATCTTTTAAACGTTTTTGGGAGGATTTGTAATCAACATTTGTATTTTGTAAGATTATTAGAATCTTAGAATTAGTTTTGGTGTCTGTTATATTCAATAATTTAGTATTTCAATGGCGTATATTAGTTTGTCCATGAAATAACAAAGCTATATTCAGTTATTATGTTATACTAGGGTGAGTAAATTATGAAAATGTTCTCAATTCTGCCAAAACAATAAATGTGAAAAAATTCTTTAGGAACCAAAAGCTACATTACCTACCAGAATAAATGCTTTTAAAAACATAAATTGAGTATCTATCCGGTGAATTAGTAGCCATGCATAAATACATTTCTGTTCACATTATTTATTGAGTTCTACTTGACTACACAAACTATTTTTTTTTTGAAACCACCATTGAAAGCATGAAAATCTACGAAATTTTTTACGATATCATCAAGATCAACAGCTAAAAGCAACATCATTAGTGAAAAATGGGAATCTCTAATGGATTAAATGTTGATATTCAACAACATAATATATTTTAATGTACAGAATGTTCCTTATACTTGAAGGAGGGGAGGAAGGCCAACCAAAACTATTTCTCGTCCGAGCCACATTCTCCTAATTTTATCTTCCGAGTCACCTCTAAATCCTAGTCCTTCAAATATTATCTTTTCGTATCCTCCCCGATAAAACTATTCGGGCCAAGTTAGGGCATTTAACATGAAATATTGAATTTTTGTGAATCGAAAAAAAACGTTTCAATTGTTAACATTTTTTATATAAAACAGTTTCAAATTAGTTTTATTTTACCTTAACAGTCCCTTTAATCTATAAAATTTTACAGCGGAACCCAAAAACTGTGAAAAGAAAGAAGACTTTTCTGATTATAAATAGTCCAATGAACATAAAGCTCAGACCGATTTCACTCATCAATCTGATTATCAAGCTACTGGTTGCTTTATATCAACCTCAAATACTAATATAATAACCGTAATCAGGCTGCCCCCCCTCTAGTCTTTTTACCCTTGCCCTCTAATTTTTGACACTATCACCATTAAATTATTTGACTTATATTGAATAGAAATTTAAAGGATTTTTTAATGCTAAAGGTAGGGTACAGGGCGGTAAAAAGTCCGGTCTTTGATAACAAAAAATCTAAATAGCCCATAAAAATATATTTTTGAAAAGCCCTTGACAAATGGATGTAGAAACATATGTCTCATTTTGATATTGGTTCAAAGCAAATTAAATATTTTTTACCTTTTTACTTTTTTGGGGGGGATTTTTTTCAACCCTCCCTAGCACCCAGATTATAAAAGTTATCGGTCTAATTTTATTTTCAATGAGCTGACCTTAAAAAATTGGGCTATGATCATGCATTTCTACCATATACCTATTCTCTCAGGCCTTTACCCATGCTATACATAGATACAGACCCCCAGCCTTCATGGGATTAATTAAATGTCGTTTTCCGATTCCACAGTTAAATTGTTTTCACTGACAGAAGGTTCAGGAACTTGTTAATTGCTGCAACAACCTCAAGTATTCTAGTTTAAAGTAATCTTGAAGAAATTAAGTCTTGGCTTTAATACATATTAATGATTTTCATTTTGTCATGGAAATTTTCCATTTCTTCTGAACACCCACTTCTAAATCTGACATACAGGGATACCCACAAAGAATGAGACTGTAAAGACGACCTGAAACTCTTTAAATATGACGATTTCAAGGTTGAATTAAGTCTTCTGCCTTGATTATTGTCTTTTATAGCTTATTTGATTTGAAAAAGAACGAAACAAGGTTGAAGTTGCAGGAAACCACGAATATAGTATAAATTCCGCATTGTCTTCTCTGATGTTTCATTCTTTCTTGGTGTAACCCTGTATAGTCGTGATGAGTCAGCTGCTAAGGCTTGAATTGTCACAAATACTCAAATCTAAAAGATTTAAAATTTTTTGTGTGAAAAAAATTCCTATCATTGGTCCGACGACTTTTTCAAATATTTAACTGTGAATCGTACATAAAAAGTCAGGTAATTGAATATAATAATAATTTACTCAGACTTTTAACTAAAGGATAAAGTTTGAAAGTTTTATTGCATAAATATTATAAATTATTACATGACATATTATGATTCTGTTTATGCAGAGTATTTAGAAGCAGCTGGATACTGAGCAGCTCCAGAATATTCCACCACTGGGACATATCCATCATATCCATTCACGGTATAGGTAACAGTCTGGAGACGACCATCAGGAAGAGCAACATAGTATTTACCCTCAGTGTTGAGTCCATTTCTGCTCTCCTTGTGTCCAAAGTTGTTGTAGGATGGATCATCTAGAACTGCATACTCCCAGTTGTAAACTGCGTCAGCCTAGAATATAATAAAGAGTTTAATCTTTTCAATTCCAATTTTAAATAATATTAAAAAATGAAAGAATTGTTGTAAAGATAGTTACATCATTATATGCAGGTTCAGCATATGCACGAGCAGGGGCGGATTTGTATGCAACAGGAGCAGGAGCGGATTGATAAACAACGGAAGCAGGAGCAGCTTGGTAAACTACGGGAGCAGGAGCTGATTTATAGACTACAGGAGCAGGTGCAGGTCTATAAACAACAGGAGCTGGAGCAGGTCTGTATACAACTGGAGCTGGTCTGTAGGCAACTGGAGGAGGAGCAGGCTTGTAAGCTACTGGAGCAGGGGTTACTGGAGCATAGGTGGCTGCTGGAGTAGGAGGAGGAGGAGGAGGTGTGGTTGTAGTATATGGAGCAGGAGTTGGAGAAGAGTAGGATGAACTACCTCCACCAATGATTCCTGCTGCCTTAGCTCTCTCTACATCAGCCCCCCTGAAAACTGCCACATTGTGGCTGGGCTGGCTGAATTGAAATAGAACTGGCAGGTTCCTGTCACACTGTACTTGTGGTTGTAGTATATGGAGCAGGAGTTGGAGAAGAGTAGGATGAACTACCTCCACCAATAAGTCCTGCTGCCTTAGCTCTCTCTACATCAGCCCCCCTGAAAACTGCCACATTGTGGCTGGGCTGGCTGAATTGAAATAGAACTGGCAGGTTCCTGTCACACTGTACAAGTGATAGCACACAGGCTACAACCACAATCTGAAATTTAAAATAAAATGACTGCAAAATTATTTTTTATTTTACTAAGTTTTTTTTTATGGCTTCGTTGAAGCAATTAAGATATTTAAATTTGATAACAAAAGTTTTTTTGAATTTTTCAATTTAAAATAGACTTTCGAACATTTACTCAGTCTCCTTTGTTCTCTGGATATAAAAAAAGATTCTAAAGGAATGAAAATATGAAATTTGAGGAAAACTAAATTACGAGAAAGGTGTTAAAAAATTTACAATATTCCAAAATTCAGTATTTGTCCTAAATGTGTCTTTATATGTTGGCTTCAGATTTTAATGTTATACTTTCAAAGGGGATTTGAAAATCATTTTATAGTAAAGGAACAAAGTCCAACTAAAGTTTTCTAATCCCAAAATCTTTGCATCATTTAATGAAAGTCGTCTGAGTAAAATAGTTACTACTTAAAGGGACTGTGAGTAAAATTTCAAGTGACCCTCCATGTAAAGATGACCTATTTATAACTTTACCCTTGAAACCTATATTTGATTAAAAATAAGGGAGACATTGTCTTTTTTCTTGTTTTAAAAGTGTTTATTTCTGATAGTTCCTTTTATGTTTTTAGGAACAACAATTGAAAATATTCAGTTTTCAAAATTATAAACATTGAGATCAGAATATCTACTTCATACTTGATCAGACAAAGCCTTTAAGGGTACCGTTGTGAATCAGGCATTGCCAACTTTACTTGAAGGGTCACTTTAAATTATTCTTACAGTTCATTTAACATGGATAATCTGTTGAATCATGCATTCTTAAAAAAAAGCAAATGGGAAAGCTCAAATGACCAAATTTAGCAAGATAAGAAATGAGATTATTTTGTTCTACTCTTAAATGTTTTCCTTACTTTGCTCAACATGCTTGAATGAAGGAGGGGAGTTGCATACTGAATCTATATCAAGACCTCCTTCTTATATACCTTTTTTCCAAATTGATAAGCACCCATGATTTTTAGGTATCCCGCGCTCCATGGTCCGCGTCCTGGCGGCCTGTATTCGCACGGCGGCGTCGTGGTCGCCGGTAATCCTGTTTGATAGGATCATGGTTGGTTCAGACCGGGTTCAAACCAGGATTTGTCAACGGTGAATCAGATTATTTGAGCAACATATTTTAGAATCATTTTTCAATGATTTTCCTTGTCTTTTCCTTGTCATCTCTTAATCCTTTTCTTGTCATCTGTTTACCTTTTTCCTTATCATATCTTTCTAATTTCTTTGTCATTTCTTTCCCCTCATCTGTTTGACTTTTCCTTGTCATATGTTTACTCTCTTTACCTATTTACTCTTTCCTTGTAATCTTTTTACCCTTTCAATGTCGTCACTTAACCTTCCCTTGTCATCCTTTACCCTTTCATTGTTATTTCTTCACCCTTTCAATGTCATCACTTTACCCTTTTCTTGTCATCTATTTACCCTTTCTTCTTCTCCTTCCTTGTCCAATCTTTGCTTTTTCTTGTTCAATCTTTACTCCTTCCTTGTACAATCTTTACTCCTTCCTTGTACAATCTTTACTCCTTCCTTGTACAATCTTTGCTTTTTCTTGTACAATCTTTACTCCTTCCTTGTCCAATCGTTCGTCCTTCTTTGCATTATCCTCGTTCTCCTTTTTTCTACTTATGTCCTTTAAATGTTCTTTTTTACTTTTGTGAACTTTTCTTTTATTTGAAGGCCGGACTATTTTTTAATCCTGTACTGTTAAAATGTGGATTTTCTTAACCAACCGTCCTTGTTGTAGTCTTTTTATTTGTTGTTTTTCCTTGACCTTTTCTTGTTTATTCCTTTTTCTGTATTTTTATCAGCTCTTGGATCTCACGTCATCTTTATATAATAGGTTAAATACTTGTAAACCTATAAATATATGAATGCTGAAAGATACCTGAGAAGATAAAGCTATCCTAGCGGTTTTAATTCAACTCTCTTTTCCCAACTGGATCAACTGCATTCTTTCATTATTGTGATTTAATAAAATGACAAAACTAGACTTCCTCAACATATATCCAGTCATCTGGAATACTGGGTTCAGGACCCTTCCTAGATTAATCATGTATTTCAGGTCGAGTTTTATATAATCCTTCGAGTATACTGTTTCCTAATTCTTCAACCCTCATCAATCATATAGATCTAATTCTTCAATCCTTATCTGTCATATAGATCTAATCCTTCAACCCTCATCAATCATATAGATCTAATCCTTCAATCCTTATCTATCATATAGATCTAATCCTTCAATCCTTATCTGTCATATAGATCTAATCCTTCAACCCTCATCTATCATAAAGATCTAGTCCTTCAACCTTCATCTATCATATAGATATAATCCTTCAATCCTTATCCATAATATAGATCTAATCCCCCATCTATCATATAGATCTAATCCCTCATCCATCATATAGATCTAATCCCTCATCTATCATATAAATCTAATCCTTCAATCCTTATTCATAATATAGATCTAATCCCTCATCCATCATATAGATCTAATCCCTCATCCATCATATAGATCTAATCCCTCATCCATCATTTAGATCTAATCCCTCATCCATCATATAGATCTAATCCCTCATCCATCATATAGATCTTATCCCTCATCCATCATATAGATCTAATCCCTCATCTATCATATAGATATAATTCTTCAATCCTCATCCATTATAGATATAATCCTTCAATCCTCATCAATCATATAAATCTAATCCCTCATCCATCAAACAGATCTAATCCTCTGTAAACATTAAAGTTTTGTTTGAGACAAATATTTTATTTAAAGGTGCTGTCATCGTAAATTAAGATACCCTGTATTTAAAGTGGACCGTGCTCAATTCACAACGGTTTCCTTGTTAAACTCAATATTATAACATTTTAGTTTTTTCTTACTTTTAAAACATTTGTTTGTTATCACTTAAAGTATAAATTTTGATATTTTTTTCCATTGTTTCTAAAGCAAGAAATGCGCAAATCATTTTTAGTTTTTTCTTGTGAATATTTGCGACCAAAAACGCTGGGAATTATCCTCTATTTTAGGATATTATATGCTCAAATTTAGGATATTATGTACTCAAATTATCCTCTATTTTAGGATATTATGTACTCAAATTATCCTCTATTTTAGGATATTATATACTCAAATTATCCTTTATTTTAGGATATTATGTACTCAAATTATCCTTTATTTTAGGATATTATGTACTCAAATTATCCTCTATTTTAGGATAGTATGTACTCAAATTATCCTCTATTTTAGGATATTATATACTCAAATTATCCTCGATTTTAGGATATTATGTACTCAAATTATCCTTTATTTTAGGATATTATGTACTCAAATTATCCTCTATTTTAGGATATTATGTACTCAATTATCGTCTATTTTAGGATATTATATACTCAAATTATCTTCTATTTTAGGATATTATGATCTCAAATTATCCTCTATTTTAGGATATTATGTACTCAAATTATCCTCTATTTTAGGATAGTATGATCTCAAATTATATTCTATTTTAGGCTAGTATGTACTCAAATTATCCTCTATTTTAGGATATTATGTACTCAAATTATCCTCTATTTTAAGATATTATGTACTCAATTTATCTTCTATTTTAGGATATTATGTACTTAATTTATCCTCTATTTTAGGCTATTATATACTCAAATTATCCTCTATTTTAGGATATTATTTACTCAAATTATCCTCTATTTTAGGATACTATGTACTCAAATTATCCTCTATTTTAGGATAGTATGTGCTCAATTATCCTCTATTTTAGGCTATTATATACTCAAATTATCCTCTATTTTAGGATATTATGTACTCAAATTATCCTCTATTTTAGGATATTAT